AGGAATTTTTTTTGTTATTGAAAACAATCCTTGAGGGATTCAAGTGACTACCTTACTCACAAATCCCTCTCACACAAATGTAGGTCACTCTTCATGATTGGTGCAAATGGAAATCCTAGGATGTTCTTCAATAAATAGTACTGAATAAACAGATCGCTACATCGCTACAGTATCGCTGAGAGTGTTCAGGTAATGTCCATGGGTAAAAGAAGTGACAACTGGAAATTTTCTAGAGTTGACCCAACTTTGAAGTTCATATATTGGAAAACCGGCCTCTATTCTAAGTCTGTCCCACCATTTGAGTGACTTCTACTGCACTGCGTTAACGAATTCAGGCCACTACCCCGATGGTGATCACACCTCTATAAAAGCAAACGACTTTATCTGCACATTTGCCTCTCATCCCTTGGAACTTATTCTTACCGTTTTTTTAGCGCAACGAAGGTCGGAATGTGAAATCGTCACTCCTTGTTGTTTCCTGTTCCAAATTTTGTGGTCGTAGAGCTAGCAGTGATTTTCCAGTACTCAAACTTACATGAACCCTCCGAATTTCCCCCTCGTCCGCAAAATGAGACACCTTTTTTTCTTCGGCTTTGCATGTTCGGATAATAGATTTTATTCTGTCCACTCCTTACAGTTGTGAGAGAGCTGCGTGATGCGCAGCCACAGAGGTTGGCGGGGGGGGACTAACAGAAAAGCTGTAATACCGCGCTGAACTCAGCGAATATGCAGATTTTCTGATTCTAGTGCATCGAGCCGCTCTATTTGGCCTCTGTACCCAGTTAACACTGGTTTTGATGGATTAGAAAATGGGAAACAAGCTCGGGTCTGACTGGCTGGGCCACAAGCAGAAGGACTTCATCTTGTGCCTCGTGGGCGCGCTGATTTGCGCTACCAGCAATGTTCTTACAAAACCAAGTTAGGGCACTCATAGCGAGAGAAGAACTAGTTAGGTTTCTCTAAACTACCTAGCCTCCTTGGAGTACTAATCAATATTTATTCATTGTTTTTGACTCCTCGAGATTCGAATTTTTTTTAAATATTCACCCTTCCTGAATTTGAACTCCACTCAAACAGCTTCCATCTTTGGGTAATTGAAGCATGAGTGGCTGAGGATGATTTGAACCACGTGGCAAAATGGTGGTGTGGAAAATTTAGCCAATTTATCGCTTCAACCCAAACATGCCGATGCCGAACTCATCTTCCTCTCATTGTTGAAACCTTTAGCTTATCCGAAACGTTGTTGTTCATATTAGCTTTTATCGTGAAAAATTTAGCATGCGGAAGTCGTGGAGAAACAAAAAGAAACTCTCAGGTATAATATTCTGCTTTCAGAGAACTTATTCGGTCGGCTAAACCGGAATACTTGCTGGCTTGTGAAGCCCTTATTTTGCCAGGACAACATTGAGCAACTGAGTATTCGAAGTGCTCGGATGGAAGTTTTGGAGTATATGGATACTCGCATTGGCCTTCCCCGTATTGGTAACGTGTGGTTTCTTCATTTTTGAAGAATGCTTCTACTAGTTTAATCAATGCGGTTACTAAGAAATAGTGACAGAAAACCTTTTCTCTCTCCCAAAGGAAAAGATCACGATAAAGCGGTTGCGCAGCGAGAAACTCTTCGCCACTGAAACCAGTAGATAAGCGGCCAAGGAGATGCTAGTAGCGGCTTTCGCACTTCAAGCGGGCCTATCTTCGAACTTTATCTGTAACTTGCAGGGCGAATATTATTCGAGAAAATCACGACAGGGGAGGGCAGGGGTTGTATTCGTCACGGAGGGTAATAGTGTCGTAATGGTAGGGGTCAGTAATGAGCAAATCAGTGGCTTTGTGGTGCACATGGGGGAGGGGGCACGAACTACTGCGACCAAGTCCTGACACGACTCTCACCCTGCTTTCTGGGCTGCATGGTGCTCTATTTAACATCCCCAGTCCACCCCAAAGTCGTCCAAAACTTATCGCAATCGCCGCCTATGCCATTAAGATCTTTCTGTCCTCAGTGCATTTTCTTGAAAACATATCCAGTATTAGGAACTAGGCTGTTGTTGTTTTTTGTGAGTTTCTGTTGTATTCTTTCGTGTGCCTGGAGCAGATACAATAAATAAAGAAATAAGAAAGTCATTTTCTATAACTCTAAAAATGATTCCAAACAAAAATGTTGGAAAACCCAGCGGGTTCAAGGAAAACAGCAGCAGCTCTTCAATTTTTTTCCATTCCCATGGGTAGTTTAATCACATTAATGCAAAAGCATTTTCAATCAAGAAGTTCTGGGGTCTCATCCAGTAAGGGGGCTATGCGGCAGGGTCGGTCCTATCGTTGCTACTTTTCAAAAAGTTTTTACGACCCCCTCCCTCATGAAATGTTTCATACGACCCCCTCTTTCAAAACAATTTTTACCCCAAAAAATTACCGTCGAGCGGGGGGGGGGGGGGGGTATATACACGCGCTGAAACGGCAAATTTTCTCCCGCGCCGCTCCCCACTCATCACATGCTCATCACATGCCACTTCTTACAACCGAAGCAACCCCCCCCCTCTACAAACTCACCAAAATACGACCCCCCGTTGCTACTTGTAGCAACATAGGGTTGACCCTGCTACCCACCCCGGGGATTCCTTCCCCTTGCGAAAACTGAAATTTTTGTAGCCGGCAAGAACTGTCACACCACATGCTCCCGCCCTTACTGGATGAGTCTGAAATTTTGAAATGTGCCACGCATGTGACATTGATCAGGAATTCGACAAAACGCGTGCATCGCTCCTGCTATTTTTCTTGAAGCCGTCCAATTCTGAGATCATTGCATATATCAGTTGAGAAAAGTTACATGATTTATTCGATCCTGCCATTTTTACCTTCAATTCAATGTTTTCTCAGGTCGCTGTATTCCTGCATAGCTTTCTTATTAGGCTCTTTGTTTCCATTCGATTTATTCCAAATGGCGAGAAGTTTCATGTAAAGGCAATTACATCTGTGTCGAACGCTCTTCTTCTGTTTCAGAGGTAATGAAGGAAGCAGTCCCGCCGTCACCATGCGTGGCAGAACGCCCTTCACCTTCAACATCAACATTCTCGTGAGTTGATGCTTTTCTGCTTAGAAATCTGCTAACAATAGTATCAGTAATCGCTCACTACACCACTTTAAAGGCACGTTATACGGTAAATTAGATGTTTGAAGAGAAGAAATGTGCACTTTAGAGGATCTTTAAGAGTGCCATACGTGACGCCTTGTGGCGAAGATTGTCCTTGTAGCGACAAAACAATACTATCCGCTCCTCCTGAACGGCTTTGTGCTCCTGCCCGCCTCAGAAGTTTTCTAATCCAATACCGGCACTCTTAGCAGAGGCAGAGCAGAGCGCTCACGTTGATGATGCCAGACTCATCTGCGAGAAATCAAAATTGAAAAAGATAAAATAAAGATAAAGCATTTGCCGTTGATCAATCCCTTTTTGGGATGCGGCACGCATTCTACTTCCATTTGTACATTCGTAGTGGCGTTTGAATGCGATGTGGCCTATACAATGACTTGCGGGGGCCAGCCGATGTACAAGTCAGTGTTTTTATCCTCCCAGACAAGTCTGGTACCAATTAACCGACCCCGGAGGGATGGAAGGCTTGGTTGGCCCGGGCGACTCACGACCCAGGATTTGATCCCCGGACCGCTCGCGTGGTAAGCGTGCCACTTGCCACTACACCACTTCCGCCCCAAAACAGTCCATATATCCCAAAAAACAGTCCCGTGCATTATCACCCATCCGCTAAAACAATTTGAAAGGGGAGGGGGGACGGCGGAAGTTGTATTTTCGAACTTGAGAGGGGGATCATATTTGGGGTCGACCAAAAGTTGACGGTTCTAGAAAAATTTG